TATTAAACCTAGGTGATAGATCCATATAGGCCTCTTCAATATTCCAATGTAAGAAAGCATTTTTTATCTCATACTAATACATGAATTATCTAAAACTGGCTAATAGAGAAATTATGCGTATTGTATTCATTTCTGTAATAGGTGTAAAAGTTTCATAATAAATTCCATAAGATTGAGTATATTCTTTAGCTAGCGGTCTCACTTTATACCATTTCAGGCTTCCATCTTTTGATATATTATAAAAAAATTCATTTGCATCCTATATGTTATTTTTCCCTTTCTCTAATTAAATGATCTCCCTAGTGTGATATTTTTCCAGAGCATTCATCTTTTCTCTCGTGGCATCCTTCTAATTTTTATTTTCAAGCTTTTCAAGTAGCGTTTGTGGCATTATAATGAAATTAGTGCTAATACTTATTAAAAAGGCTTTACTTGTAGGGGGAACTTTTTAGAAAGAATCGTATGGAGAGGTAGGATATAGAGGAGAATGTGTAGTGATTGGTTGATCATTATTATTTGATAATATTTTTGAGTCTTTAGCTTTAGATTTTGGTGGGACTTGTTCTTTTTCATTGACTTGAAGTGGTACAATGGCTGAATTTTGTACAGCTTGTGCTGTAGGAATGTTAAGATAAAAAATAAAAGTTTTATCCAAGGTTTAAAAAGTTGAAATCAGGAATCAAGGCATTTTATCTCAGCGAGGTAAGGCATAAGCCTCGAAACAAAAATTTAAAATTCTAAAAAATTATAAATAACTCATAAATATGATAAAAAAAAGAAATAAATCATCAACATAGGGACTTGTTTGAAATTAAATGTTATTAGAACACAAATTAAAACAAAAAAAGTTAAAATCTTGAACTTCGTTGTAAATTAAAACAAGCATTTGACATGGTTTAAAAATAATTATATAAAGTCACACTTATCCCTAAATCAATCGAGGAGCAAAAATAAATAAACTCATAAATGCCAAACAATATAACAATCAAAATAAAGAAAATAATCACATATTGATACTATTAATTCTATAACCCTATTCAAATAATAAGTGTAGCAAATTACTGCAGGCATATTAAGGGAACAATAAACTATTACATTCATTAAATTTATTTACCTGTATATAGTTTTCAAGATAGATTTGTTTAAAGAAATTTTGTTTCTCATCAAAGGTGACATCTTTTAATGTAAAAGATTTTTTATTGATAGAATGGTAACAGTTACACTATTTTTGAGTGGAGAATACCCAATAAAGACACATTTGAAGGCTCTAGGATTAAGTTTATCTAGTTGTTATTCATGAAAGTGGACATAGGCAATGTCCTAATGATTTATGGTGGAATTTTGTAAGTGCTTTTTTTGTAGGGAAGACTTCTGCTTGATAGTTTATAGGGCTTTTGAAGCCAATCACTCTATTGATTAGGTATGTAGAGGATAAGACTTCTTCCTAGTATTATTTGATATTTATGATAAGCATCTTGATGACGTTTAGAAGATCACTTTTCTATTATGCTACAACATTTTGTTGGGGAGTATCAGGATTGGAGGGTTGGTGGATGATACATTCTTTTTGATATAAGATGATAATGTTTGGTTAAAGTAATCATGAACGTTATCAATCCGAAATACTTTGATGTTATCATGAAATTATTTTTATATTATGACAATAAAAATGAGAAAAATAATACTCACATCATTTTTTTTTTTGTTAAGATATACCTATGTCATCCAAATGTAATCATAAAGCGAAGAATCCTGTAGTTACAAAAATGTTGTGGATTTTGGAAGGTCCTGAAATGTTAGTGAACCCTTAGAAAAGAGTAGATCTAGAATAATTTTCAGGAAAAATAACATGATTATAATTTGCAATTTCACAAGTCTCACAATGAAATTTTTTATGTTTGCATTTAAAAAAAAGACAGGTAAATATTTTTTGTATGTTTTTGAAAGACAGATACCCTAGCATATAATGATGTTCACTGTATTGAGGGCAAAAATGATGAAATATGACATGTGATTTCTATCTTGAAGAAGATATACCCCATTTCTTTTCTAGCTTGCTCAGTCTTCCCTTTAGTGAGGTCTTGAAATACATAAGGATCATAAAAAAATATTAATTTATTGCTGTGGTCTTTAGTGATTTTATTGATTTATAGAAAATTTACTATAAGATGGGGAACACGCAGTACATTACTGATGGTAAATTTGGACGGAATTGATCTATTTCCTTGAATTATAAGAATTTGCAGAGAACTATCGGCCACTTTTGAATATGTTTATTGGACGGTGTCTCAAATTTCCTTTGTGATAGAGAGGAACTCATATTGCCTAATGATTTCAATCATTATGATATTCCACAACCATGTCATGATAAATGAAATTGTTTCATCCCAAAGTACAAATTTTGAGTCATTCGGCTTTGGAGGATCTACAAGATGATGGGTCTTCTTCCCCTTTCTTTTCAAAGTTCTTCACAATTCAGGATCACTTTAGATAGTTTCTCCCATGTAAGCAATATGAGGCATATACCCATTGGAGTTTTCCCCTAAGTCTAACTTTCACCATTCATGATAGTTGAATCATTGGAAGGGAAGTAAAAGAAACTAGACAAAATGAAGTGAAGAATTCTGGTAAGAAAGTAAGAGAACGAAGGTTGAACCTTACTTTGATGCCACATTTGAAGTAGAAAAAAACCACTTTAAATTTTATTTCTTGATTCTTTACAAAAATGTGAATGTATAGATTTATACAAAAGTCTTTAAAAAAAAAATTATTTAAAATAATATAAAAAAAGTCCCCAAGAGGGGAAACAACTAGAAGGAAAAGAGGAGGCATCTAATGGAAATAAGATGATCGATCCATTGGTTAGAATCCTTAATATGCATGTTTAAGAATTCCTATGAAGATTGGTTGACTTGTATCTCCCACTACCATTTAATAGTTTTCTAATAGTAGATGAATGACCAAACAAAGGAATTTTTTTCTAAATTTAGTTTTTATTAAGTTCTTATGTCTTCACGCATTCATTTGTTATCTAGTTGATTAAAATCTGATGAATTGGGGAATTCACATTCATTCATTTAATAAGGTTCGAACAATATGGAGAGGAAAATTACAATTTTAATATAAATTCATTTTGAGTGTTTAATATCTCATTTTAGGAAAGTTTAGCTCATATTTTCTTGTCCTACTTTAAAATACAAATTAGATTAATGTTATCTTTATTAACATTAACTTTGTCTTAAATATTTGGGATTACTATTAAGAATCTTCATTTTGTACTAATTAATGTAAAGCACCACTAGAGGTGTTACTTTAATCTAGTGAAATTATATATGATACAAAATTGATTTGGAGTACAAAATCATTTTGTTGTCAAGAGAACATGTTCTAATGGTCAACCTAAATACTACTAATGGTAGTCCTTTCTTAATTTTTAAAGTTGTTCACTCAAAAGGAAATTACATTTTTTATTTAAAAGAAGTCTTAATATAAATTTCTTGCATCCTTGTCCACTTATGCTTCATTTGGGGTTTTTTTTTTTATTGATTTTTAAAATTAAGTTTTAATAGAAAATTTTAAATTTTACTACTAAAACTCTATTTTAAGAAGCAATAATAAAGTCGTCCCAAACAAAGTTTTAGTCTTTTTTTTTTTTGAGTTTAGTTAGTTGTCTAGTAAAATATTTATCACATTGATGAATTTATTTTTGTGAAATAATCAGTTGTGTAAATCATGGACAATGTTTTCTTCTTAATTTTGAAATATTCTTAATAAAAATTATGGTTATTAATTATGTTCAAAACATACATGAAAATCTCTTAAATTTTAATTGACTTGAAAAACATTTGTTCAACTTACGGATAGCCCACATCAAATTAATTTCATTAAATTTGAAATTAAGACGATGTACTTATACAGAGAGAATTTCATGCGCGCTATTGAAATCTTTATATTTAAAATTATAATATCTTTCCCTAAAAACGAGCTCTTGAACCTTGCACATGTTGTAATCAAATCATTAGAAATTTGATGAAATGTTGAGAATGGATGTTGATATGTTTGCCGTAAATTTTAATATTTTGGTGAGAATTTGATTCATGGAGATCAGATGGTGGTAGTTTTGTAAAGGAAAAAAGATTTAGGTGTTACATGATAAATTAGCCTCTCTATAAATGTAGATGTATATGCATCTTTAAGTAAAAAAGACACAAATTATATGCATGTTTATTTTGTTTGTGGTTGCTTCATACATGCCTACTTATGGTATATATAACTTTGTAAATATATTACGTATAAATATATATGTATATGTATATATATATATATATATGCATCTTTAAGTAAAAAAGACACAAATTATATGCATGTTTATCATGTTAGTTTAGAAATTTAGAAATTTTTTTTTCTAAAATTAAGAGACTAGGCTCAAATTTGTTCAAACAAGACTTAAATCAAGACAAAATAAGAATTTTATGTTTCAAGTTGAGGTTTGCTTGCTTGAACTTGACTCAACATTGCCTCTAATCAAAATCCAATTAGATGGACGAATTTGGTTTTCATATTGATAGTAATTGTCTATCTATCTTCCCATGAGTAATAGGTAGAGCTTTCTCCTAGATTAGAGGCAATGTTGAGTCAAAAGGGTCACTTGACTATTCATGAGAATGCGTTTTAATGCCAGACTATTTAATGTATTCAATTCAGTTCCATGACTCCTCAATTCTGATTCAAAATAATCTAATAGAGGGACTATTTTGGATCATATTTGAAGAGTCAAGGGAATGGTAAAGAGGATTGTATTAAAGGAGTTAAAGAATGTTGAAAGAAGACTATATTATAGACTTCTGTTATCAAGTTTCTTTCATATGCAGCACTTTTCAATCATTTCAAAAGCTTCACCTATCTTGTAGGTGCCTGGTTTGTATTCCAACTTATTGAGGAATATTTATTCATTGCACATTATAGTATTAGGCTAATGTTTCTTTTTGGCTGCTCTCAAGTGTTGTTGCAGAAGGTTCTTGATCCACCAGATCCTGAAACAGTTGAAGATGCTCTTAGTTTGCTTGTTCATATTCATGCGCTGGAAAAAATCCATTCTCACCGGGGGCGCTATGAACCAACATTCTATGGACGGTTGTTGGATAGCTTGCCATTGTCCTTTCACGCGTCTCTACTTGCACTCAAGTTTGGTGAGATTGGATTCTTAAGAGAAGGAATTCTGATCAGCATATTAATGGATATCCAGCCTTTGCCGATACTGCAACCTTTTGGGCAACAAATCTTGGTTTGTGGTCAGCAGAATGAGTGGTTCATAAATTTTTTAATTATATTTAATTATTGTAATTATTTTGTGATTGCTACAGTGTACACAGTATGTGAATAGCTACTTTGGCGGCAAGAACAGTGCCTTTCTGCTAAACGGAAAGAAAGAGTTATTGTTTATGGCAAACTTGTGTGCCTACCAGTTTTGGCAGCGTGTTTTCAAGGTAAATAAACTTGACTAGGTGATAACTATCTGCTTAGGTTCTGCTGATGCGCTCTAAAAAAATAAATAAACTGAAAGCCCAAAATATATTCTCCTCATTTCCTATCCTTTAGAAGCCATAATAAGTATAGGATTTCCGTAGGGTGGATGCTGATGAGTGGAGCGTTAGGACTTTGGTGCATACATTGACTCTGAATCCAAATTCCATCTTTCTGAACGCCACCCAACTTGTGTTTTGATATAGTTTGCTGATCTAATTTGAAGTATTACTATTGATAGTGTCCTTTTTTGAAGAAAAAGCATAGCCTATCATTTCTTGAACAGGCCAGAGTTCGTGCCTAAACTTTTTCCTTTGGAACCCCCTCCTAACCATCAGGCTATCAGAGGCTGAACCCAATCAGATAAACATTACATAATTGTAAATAGTTTTTTCTTTTGGTTTAAAATTATGCATGTATGTAATTTTCATCAAAATAGAAAGAAAACTGTTCTAGTGCAATATTGCAATCTGATTTAAACAAGATACATTGCAAACATAACATGCAACCATTTAAGATGAACTTTGCAAATATATTTACTTGTAATCTCTTCAACATTTGTCCTTTTTTTTGTAATTTCCTATCTTTAATTATGTCTATCTTTCCCTTTATAGGATAAACTTCGTCTAGAACGACTAAAGCAGGTTGTCAAAGTTAATGATGTTAAATCATCTGGAACTCTAATCACTAAGGTTGAAGAGGAATGGTGCTTGTTCCACAATCTTTTGTGGGGGTCATTGCATCATATCTCTGATATTTGTATGTATCTTGATTTCATAATTGGCTGAAGTATTATTGTATTTTCTATTTCGTTCTTGTGTCAGTATCTCCATATGCATGTATGCTCGTCTTTGTTAGCTTGTGGATAAGACCTAACTGCACTTAACTTCTCTTTATTGACCTAGATCTTTCTTTTCTTTAGATGATGATATAATTAACGGTTTGCACCGTTTCCGCCCGGATTTTTTTGTAAGCAATGAATTTCCAACTTACCATGAACCTTATGCATTTAAACATACTTGCCTTTTGCAATCCAAGACTTTTGAGGATGGTTATGTCCCCATAGTAAATGAGGTGGCTGATTCTTATGACAATGAAAATAGAGACTCTTCTGGTGCAACAAGATGTCTTCTTGTACCATTTGTTGGTCCAGGAGACTTTCAATCTTCAACAGTCGCTGAAACGTTCAGGGCCCTAATAAAAGAGGTATGAAAAGTATTTTTTTTTAATTCTTTGTTTTCTCATTATGCACTTTGCTGGGCCATTTCAAATCTTTTTTTTTTTTGCTTTATTAAAGATAAGGATGCAGTATTTAGATGATGCTACTGAGCATCAAGGTCAAACTGTTGGTGGCATCATCTCAAAATCAACGGAAGCAACTATATGCAAATTCTTTCTTAATGGAAGTTGCAACAGAGGCGATGAATGCTATTACTCTCATTCGCTTCAAGCCAGAAAACCTTTATGCAAGTTTTTTCTTACGTTTCAGGTACGGAACCTTCTTAAAGTTTTGTTTTGCCATTGATCTATTATCGGCCCATCTATCCTTTGTTGTAGGAGCCTCTTGTTTTATTTGGATGATTTGAAATAAATGCTTCAGCTTTATGAAATGTTTGACTTGCTCGTGCATTGATGATTATTGTTATCACTAGCACATGCTAGTTCATTTATCATAAGTGAGTATGTATCTTTAGATTTGTTTTTGCATACCACTGTTTTGCAATTTCCTGATAGGCTCAGTATGTGTAATGATTTGGCATGGTTTAATGTAGCAGTACACATAGCTGGAACTATAGTTTCAACAATTGCAGGTTCCTGGTATAGTGATACATCTTTTCATTTATGCTACTTAGGCTTTTGTTGACCTACACATAAATCATAAAGCGACAGAAATTCAATCTGATTGAACTTGAATCTGCTATCACACCAAATTCACTCAAAATGTCTCAATTGCAATAATATTTTTAAACAGATTCTATCAATAAAGTCCATAAATCCTGCAGCCCTTTCCCATCCATCACATCATACCTGTGGCGTGATTTGAGTCCTATCTGGCTTTTCTTAAATATAAAAAAAGTATTAAAATCTATATCTATTACACACTCTCTCCTTCACACTGTCATAGAGTTGCATGCCACTTGCTCTTCTAATCTTTACCCCTTTCTTCCTAGTTTTCTCATATGGATCCCTCTCTCACCCGTGCACTCTTTCTATTCTCTAATCCTCATCCTTTGTGTCAATTCTGCTACGGAGCCCCTCTTATCGACCCAGCACTTGTTCCCTCAACTAACACATTGATTGTTCTTGTATATGTTGGAGAATTTTTGTATCCTCAAACGGATTGCATATTTTATCATCGAGTACGGCATAATAACATGACATATTACTCCGAAGGGTAAGAATATCATTTTCTTATGGACTCAACTATAAAATTTACAATTTTAACAGAGATTCCCCCACTCGATGTTTGGTCGAGCGGGGTTTAATTATTTCTGGGGTATAGACATCCCATAGGGGCAAGCCCCGATGGTTATTTACATCCCATGTTTTGATTTGGGAAAACTTTTGATTAAATTAGTTGTTTTGCTTTCTTTTTGAAGTCATTTAAACATTGACTAAAGTTGATTTTGTTTTGAAATCCATGAAATTCTTAGTTAAAAAGTTTGGCCTTTAGGAATTTCAAGGAAAAGGTGATCAACTAGGAATCAGATTTTGGAATGAGAGCCAGAGGAGGTGAAGTAGGAGCACTTGATTCTGAGGGACACTCAGAAGTGCTCGGACTAACCTATGTTGGGCTTTACATTTTAACAGTCTAATTTTTGTTTAAGTTGATATTTTTTTTAGAATGTTGGGGCTTACATTCCTTCAACATATATTGTAGAAATTGCCCGAACGATGAGGACTTGTAGGGTGATTTGGAATCAACCCATGCCTCGGACCCTAAGACTAAGGTGAGGACTACCGATAGGTAGTGCCTCGAACCTAGATCTAACGAGTGCAAAGGGGCTTACAAACTACACCTCACAAAAGGCATAGCTTGCCCGACCTTTGGATTTATTGTCCCGCCTGGAAGAGACTACCAGCTAACCCTCCTAATCGCTTTTAAAATCATGTCATCCTGTCTCAATGCAAATGTAGAGTGGGGAGGTTGTTTTTATTTAGAAGGTAGAACTTATAGCTTGTCTTTGAGGCCAAGATGCCTAATTATATGGGTATTGATGAAATCAAAAATTTGGGAGAGGGACCCAAATTTTTTATCACAAAAAACATACTCTTACTAAGATAATAAAAATTCAAATAACTCATAAAAATTAGACTAATTAGACAAATAAACTAAAACACCATTTTCATATTATAAAAGGACTTACAAACAAAAACTCTTACAAACGACACTTACAATTTGGACGCTTACAAACTTTGACACAAACAAAATGACACCCTAAACTTGCTTACTTTGAGAAGAAGGATACAATGGAATGGTTACTATGGAGAGAAGAAAGAGATTAGAAGCTGAGACGAAAGTTGGAAAGAGCCCGCAGGATTTCCGGAGGGGATGAGAAAGAAGCTTAAAAAGAGCCCGCAGGATTTCCAAAGCAAAAACCACTCAGGTTTCTTTCCAAAAATCACATTATCACACTTCTATACAGCCACAAAACATCTACTATATATAGGCATAAGTAGGAGAATGCCAAAAGCCACCTTAGTTAATGTTCACAACATCCCAAGCTTCTTTTCCAAAAGCCATTTCGAAAACAGCCCAAGCTATTTCAGAAAAACAGCCCACATTAATTCTGTTACGGGAATCACAGGTAACTCACGGCACCAAGGAGCCATATTCTCGGAAAGCAAGCAGCCCGCCAGAATCCAAAGCAGCAAAGTCACAGATTTCGGGAAACACCCAGCAGGAATCATTGGTAATCACGGCACCAAGGAGCCAGCAAACAGACCGAATTCAAAGCAGCAAAGTCACGGAAAAATACATCCCTGTTGGAAATCTGAGACCGGATGGACTCCCAAAGGAAAAAGTATTCAGATATAAATTCAAATGCTTTGAATTCAACCACCTTTTAAAAGCAAGCCACGGTTCTCCAAGAGACAAGAAGAAAAGGGGAAGGGGAAGGGGAAGGGACAAGGAAATGCGAAGAAAAAAAGGGAAAGAAGAAAAATCATTTTAAGAAATAATGAGCTAATTTTTAGTTCAATAAATGAACTAAAAATTAGCTCATAATGAGCTAATTTTTTTACAAGACATTAATAAGCTAGAGGAGTCAAAAATCAAATATTAGGATTTGATTTGACCCCCCCCCTTGCCTACATCAGGTATGCATTTGTTGACTCAAGGAAAATAGATTTTTGTTATCTAATCCTTAAATGAGGGTTTTCTATATGCAACACAATTGGGCTATGCATGATTGTTTTAAATTTAAAAAAACTTAGCTCTTTATAGGGAACCATGCAAGACTTTCTTATTTGTTAGAAAATCATGAAGCCTAAATCAGTTTTTTAGATTGATTACATTTTAATAGATAGAAATCTTATTTTTGTCCTAAGAGCCTACCATATCAAAAGTCCAAGTCACTCCCAAGCAAAAGCAATGTAAGAAACATAGGAAAGAGCATGCTTTTCTATTGCGCAATCAGGTAAACAATCAAACATGCTTTTATTTATAAATAAAATGCAAGGAATGAAAACAGAGTCCATATTATTACAAACAGATTTGGCAGCTGAGTTGCCTGCCATTATACAACCCAGTCAAATTTACAGACTCTACTTGTGGGGGTCTTCAAGCTTCAACCTTTAGAGGGGTACTTTCTCCCTTGATCCTCCTTGCTTACTAATCCAAACCCCACAAGTTTCACACCCTAGATCTAATTAAATACATGGTGTAAAAATAGAAAAAGACTCAAATCTGCAAAACAGAGTCATGGGGCAATTTATATAGCAAAAATATGAGCATCCCGAAATTGGCCTAGCACTTAGAGTGCTAAGCGCTAGGCCCCTGCTTCTACCCTATTGGCCATGCCTCTTGGGGGGTTTTAAGCAGCGCCTGCAAGCAAACAATATTATGAGGCTTGTGTGGTATGTCACACTAAGGGTCCTAGAGTTTTGGTCTAAGGAAGAAGTGTCCAACATGTAGCATTTGGGACACATGTTGAGGGATTTTCCCTTAGCTTTTGGAGCTAAGAAGAAAGGGTAAGAATCTAACATTTAGCTTTTGAGCTAAATGTTGGAGAGTTCTCTCTAGCTTTTGGAGCTAAAGAAAGGAGAAGTCTCCTACAACTTTGGAGTTTGAGGAGTATTGAGAGAAAATGCAACTTTTGGGTTGCAAATTCATAAAGGTCTTTGGACACTTTGGTGCCCAAAAAGAGAGTTGCACCCTTCCAACTTGAGTTAGAAGGGTAAAGAAAAATAGGACTTTGAATCCTATGTTTGAGATGAAATTACATGTTGATTTTGGTTCATCAAGTAAGATAATTTGGAATAAGATTGGACAACTCAACATGAGTTGAGTGCAAGAGGGTTCCATACAACTCTTGAGTTGTAGGAAGGGTGATTTTCTTTACAATTTTGGGTTTGTAAAGAAGAGAGTTAGGTGCAACTCATGGGTTGCAACCTTCCGAATACTCTTTTGGACATTTGGCATCCAAAGAGAGGGGTATACTCTCCTAACTTGGGTTTAGGAGAGCATAAGGGAAAAGAAAGTGAAAGAACCTATGGCTTTGAGCCAAGGTAAGGAGTTCCTTAAAACTTTTGGAGTCTATAGGAGTGAAAGAGGATTTGTAACTTTAAGGTTACAAATCAAGAATGTGCCTTCTTGAATTTTTGTATTCAAGAAGGTGGGATTTCATTTTCTTAATTTAGGTTAAGATAAATGAAGGGTATTTTGATGATTGCCTACAATTTAGATTTGTAGGAAAGGATGTAGTTCGATGTGCAATTTAGAGATTGCAAATTGGAGGAGTTCCTTTGAACATTTGGTGTTCAAAGAAAAAGGTTCATTCCTCCAATTTGGGTTGGAGGAGAAAATGAGAGGGGATGTGACTTGGGAGTTACAACTCTAAGAGAATTCTTTGAACATTTTGGTATTCAAAGGGCAGCGTACATTCTCAAAATTTGGATTGAGAGAATGAAATAATTTCCTACAATTTTTGGATTGTAGGAAGGAGAGGGTGCAATGATTTCCTACAACTTGTAGGAAAAGGAGATATGAAGTGCAACTTGTAGGTTGCAAATTAGAGAAATCCCTTTTGAACATTTGGTGTTCAAAAGAGAATGACACATTCGCTTAATTTATACCAAGTGAATGGTGAGGTTTTCTACATTTTTTTTTTGTAGAAGAAGAGAATGTGCAACTTAGAGGTTGCAACTCATGAATGTCCTTGAACATTTGGTGCTCAAAAAGGGTTTCATCCTCCCAACTTGGTTTGAGAGCATGAAGAAAGGTTTAAATGCTCTCCTACAATCTTAGCTTGTAGGAAAGGGAGAGGG